TTTAGACTTTTGCCTTCTGAAGTAAGGGTAGTACTGCTCCTTTTAGTGCTGTGTAAAAGCAGGATAAAGCCTACACTTTTTCTGTTAATATAATCAACTGTGTCACTTGTCTAACAGCATGATTTAGCTGTTATCAAATTGCACACTCATGAGAAAAGTCTTTAAATTGCCTCCTGTCAAAAGAGACTGCTCTCCTTCCTCATACCCGCCATGTCCCCATAGTTTCCTCTGCGCCAAATCTGGTGTTTCACCAAACCTACAGTGAGCTATTCAGGAAGCTGAAGTGGCAGAAGGAAACACTTCCCCCTCAAAAGCTTGCCTCCTGCTGGGGTGGCGTGTGGTACCTGAGAACGGGTATAAAGCAGAGAGCGCAGAGCGTGGGAGGGAGATGCGCGTGGCAGCCACCCCCCTGGCTGGATTATAAACTCGTACCCTGACCTGCCATCCGTGACTCAAAGAGTATCCTGGAGGATGAAGGATTAGGTAGTCTGGATCTTCAGAGAAACTAATATAGTTTAGCCTGAAAAATTTAGAAAGGATTGTTTACTTTCCTGTGCTTTGACCCTGTTGAATCAGAACAGTTTACTGTCAGGGATTATGCAAGGTGTGAGCTGTGGGTTAGTTTCTGGATCTTTAGATAAACATTTAAAAACATTGATTCTGGCTACTGGTGGGTTATTTTTTTCTGCAGTTTTCTTCAGCAGAGACAGCAGGTCTGCAGCTGTTGTATCACTGTTGAGTTATGTGATGGGTACGCAGTCCCTAGGAACTATCTTTGCAAAGAATCATGGTTTAGAAAAGCAACTGATGAGTTTCTACATCTTCACTTTGAAGAGATGGATTCCTGCTTTGTCCCCCCCCCTTTTTTTTTTTTTTTTAATTTGGACTGGAAAAGTGCATGTTACTTATCTCCATAGAGAATCTGGTGATGCAACATGTATTCAGAGTGGGAACTAGACTCTCCAGGCAGTGTTCAGATGCTTTGAACATATTATAAAAGCTACTGCTTGTGGGGTAGAAGAGGAGGAAAGTGGTAAAGACAGATGAGAACACTGCACTGAGAGATTAGGTTGACATTCACACATTTTCCTTCCTCAAACAATGGATGATCTTGATTTAAGGGCTGCACCAAACACAGCCACTTGCAGCTTTCCTGTATGACTTAACGTCACTGTGTACCTGCATTGGTCAAAATGACCCTGTCCAGACTGAAGATGCATAAAACACCATGGTAGTACAGCTTGTGTACAACAGCTGAGGTTAGGGACAATTTTTCTCAGGGACTGGCTTATCATTGCAGGTGAAGACATTTTATCAGCTCCTTGCTATCCAGAGAGGCGATCTGCCCTTATCTGGTCAGCATTGGCACTTGGCTGATTCCATAACAAGATAATTTATGGTGAAAAGCTAGTCTTGCAGAATAACTATTTTCAAGTTTTTCAAAAACTTCTAAGCTATTAAAAAATAAATTCAAAGCCATTTAGGAAGCTGCTCATCCTGTGTGGGAAACACAGTTTTCTAGCTTGAACTGTCTCCCCATGGGGTGGACACAAACGCTTCAGCAAATTCAAGGAAAGCAGCTGTAATGCATGGGGAGGGGTGGAGGAGGGAGCAAGACCCTTTCAGCAGCAGTTGGCCACTGGGGCCATTTAGTTGTAGCATCACTCTGTAGACATGTGGTTACTGAACTTCAATTGGGTCACTTCAGTAAGTTGAAGCCAACAGGAAACCAACAAGAAGAGAGAGAAGGAAAGCAGCAAATAGGTTTTAGCTGATTAATTACAATGAAACTGCTGTGAAGGATGAGCACAAGTGAAAGAATGAAAGACTAGTGGTAGTGGTGAGGAGAACAAGTGACAATAGTTGGATGAGGTAGCCAGAAATAGGAAGGGGAGTATCTCCCTGAGAAACATCTTGGTGGCACATTAGAAAAAAAATAAGAGGAATATACTGGAAAATATCTTTCTGCTAAGATCAAGACAGATACAGTTCTTGACTGCTTAATAGATTTGCTTATTCCGGTTCAACTGTGATGCTACCTAAATAGTTAAATAAAAGGTGGAAAACAATTTGATTATCAGAGTAAATGGCTTAAAGGCTTCAGCTTTCTGTAGACCATTCTTTTATGATAGAGGAAAAACAATGTTTAACTTGTTCAGGAATTTCTAAAGTTGTCATTCTCACCTGACACTGGTAAAATTAGTGGTTCTGCTTTTGGTAAAGTTGGAAAGATGCAATTTTTCACTTAAAATTTTTAAAAGTCGAATAATTCAAACACATGTTTTTTCTTGGCAAGTATCTACTGTGGTTGATTTCCACTGTCCTCTGTTCTTGTCTCATTGTTACTAGGTTCCCCAGAGGGTCACACGAATAAGATTAGAAGAAGATACTGTATTTTGCCCATTTTAGTGTGTTCAGCTCTGGTTGGAAAAAAGCTCTAAGTTTAGTGCTTCCATGTTTGGAAATAGGGCCTTGGAAATTTGGAAGGTGAGGTCACATTTGCAGCTATCATATTTTCCATGAGATCTTTCAACCAAATGTGGCTACTCACTATCGTTCTTCAGAGTTCTAGTCTGTGTGCACACAATAAGAACTCTATTAAAAACTCTGTTACAGTCTCTAGCAGCTAAACGCTCCAGAAATTACTGACAACTTTCCCTCAGTGAAAGTCCTGGTCAAGCTGTTAAATGTCCATTCTCTAACAAACACAGCTTTCTTCCTGTTCACCAGTTTTCCCTGACCATGCAAGTGCTGAAATTGCATCATTTGATAATAAATTACAAAATGGCATTCATCACTCTTCCAGGGGTTTCAGAAGCTTAATTCTCCTCACCACTACTTCGGGATGAGGTAATTATTCAATATTCTTCCAGAGCAAAGCTCCAAAATTATAATCAGTTTGACTTTTTTTCCCCCAGCATCTTTTTCTTTTCTGAATTCTAGCTTTCACAGCTATACGTGAGAGAAGACTGTATACAACATGCCATCTTTAGTTGCAATTTGTACAGCTGTATTGTTAGGATGAAGAGATGTAACAGCACACAGCTACAGACTACTGAATTAGTAACATGAGTGAGAATCCAAATACAAGAGTGGTGAAGGATACCAAAAGTCTTACTAATACATTGAAAAGAAGTGGAAAGAAGAAAAGTAAAAATTTCTAGAGCGAAGCTGTAATGATGCTTTCCTTTTTGGTGTCTGTTTTTCCTATTCTTATATTCAACATACCATTTTCCTGTGATTCATCCTGTGAAACATTTAAAGGCTAGAGAAGATCCTCCTTGCATAAGGATCACTGATTATGATACAAATATACCCTAGAAAAATGGACAATTTGAATCATGCCAACTGTATGAATCATCTTCATCGATTTAAGACCTGGGGAAAGCACATGGGCTGGTAACGGCAGTAAAAGCGGTCAGACCCAGGGACAGCGTGACATTGGAGCTGAGATGCTTTAGGTCTTAAGCGAACAAAGTCCTGGGCAACCTGGTCTGAAGTCAGTGCTGACCCTGCTTTGAGCAGGAGGTTGGACCAGAGACGTCCCAAAGTCCCATCCAGCCCGAATGAGACGATGATTTAAAACAGCTGGTTCAAAAATGCATCAACATACTGAGCCAGGGTATAAATAATATATAAACCCAATAAACAGCTTGTGTTTATTCAGAAGCGGAAGCAAGTACACACTCAACATTCTACGAAAGGTTCACTGGCTTTTCCTGAATTTGAGAGGGCTTTTGCTAAAATCTGTATGAACAATCTGATAAATATTTCTGAAGAAGACAAAGCTGACTCATGGGTACCCACCTAATGAGAAAAAAAGCCCAACAAAAAAAAGGCTTGTAAAGCTGGGTACAGAGGAAGGGGTGCAAAAATAAACCATGTAACTTCTGAGGAGCAATGCACCATTTTGAGAGACAAGGGCAGAATACAAACGTGGGGAACTATTCCCTCTATAATGCAGAAGCATTATAAAAGAAAGCTCAGACGCCAACAAACAGGGCGTATAAATTATTTATATCAAGAGCATAAAATGTATTAAAATTGATTGGTTCCACTAAGCATAATTTTAGAGCAAGCTTAGTGCCTGTCACAAGTGAACCAGCAGAAGTTTGGACTTGTGATAAAGCTTAAGAAAGGTAAGACAATAACAATAAACAAAACCTATGAGTGGACGGTCGTGATCTTTTGTGTCGGTTCCTCAAGAAAATAGGCTTCTAAGATTTGGGAAGATGGTAATTCCGAATGGTAAGTGCAGAGGATCAAAAAAAAGGATAGTCTGGTGAAGTGGGGTGGGGAGATTTCTTTTGACTACTTTCCAACTATAATTATGTTTAAATTACATTATGCGCAAGGGATTAACATGATCTGTTTTTCCTTATAAGAGCTGTACAGACCATTCATTGGAATGGCAGCGTTAACGGAGGGTAAGAAACCAAAAAGGCAAATCACCAAAGAACCTTGCTTTAAGACATTCAAATTAAAAAAAAAAAAAAGCGAGAGGACTAACGTATTAAAAATACCCGGACTTCGTGAGGTTTGCAACGGGTGAAAGTGAAAGAAATTGCACGGTGCGGGGTAACATTTTGTTGGTTTGTTTTGTTTTTATTCCTGGATATCGCTTGAAAAAGCGGTCAAGGAGGCGAAGCTCTCACAGATAAGTGTAACTTTTACCCTTTACCTCAGGGGAGGAGGCGGGGGGGCGGGAAGAAACGGAACCAGCAGTGAGGCGGCCAAAAAATCACCACCGAAATGACTTCAGAACCGGTCCGAGCTCCTTTTAAAACCTCCCACCAGCTAAAAACACCCGGAGCGACCTTATTTTACATCCTACTGCCGTTTATTCCACGTTTCCTTCTTTCGCCGTCCCCTCCTCGCCTCAGGGGCCGCCGCTCCTTCATCACCACAGAGGGGGCGGCGGCCATGACCGCTCCCCCTCAGCCCTCCCCCCCCGCACCTCAGCCCAGCCGGTGAAGGAAGGGGCCGGCAGACCGCCAGCCGCCGAGGCGGTGCTTCTGCCGCTCCGCCTCCCCGGCGCCGCTGCAGGAAGCCGGAAGCGGCCGGGGGCGCTGGGCAGGCGGGGCGAGAGGCGGCTCGGTGCGTGGGGTCGGGGCCGGTGGGCAGGGCAGGGTGAGGGGAGGCCGCGTCTCAGCGAGCTGAGGTGGGCGGCGGCGGCGGCGCGGAGGGAGCCGC